ACACATTTGTGATATTCATTATGATCCTTTCAGTTAAAACTCACAGTCGAACAACTGAAAGTTAAAAACACAGATTAGAGTCTGAAACTCGTGTGAGGAAACTGCGATGAGACTGAAAGTGTCTCCAGTTGTGATGAAGATTTGTCCTTTTAATCTTCTCACAGTAGCACGCTGATGCAAACTAATTCCTGTTGGAGTCAGGAAGGTGGCTGTTTCCGTAAACTGCCAGGAGATCGGTGCAGCATACGTGGAAGAGTCATGTGATATTTATATTTAGTCATTTACAGGCGCTGGTCATAAAATTATATATCATGAAAATCTTGATTTATTTCAGAAATTCGTTCAAAAAGTGATACTTATATATTATATTAATTCATTACACACAGACTAATATTTTCCAAATGTTTATTTCTTTTAATGTTGATGATTATATTATTTCATTCAACCTTTATTTATACAGGTTAATCCCAATGAGCCTCGGGGACTCATTTACAAGAGTGACCTGAACTATAACTAACAACTAATGAAAACCCCAAATTCAGTATCTCAGAAAATTATAACTTTACTTAAGACCAATAAATAAAAAGGTTTTTAGAAATGTTGGCCAACTGAAAAGTATGAAAATGAAAATTACGAGCATGTACAGCACTCAGTACTTAGTTGTTGCTCCTTTTGCCTGGATTACTGCAGCAATGCAGCGTGGCATGGAGTCGATCAGTCTGTGGCTCTGCTCGGGTGTTATGAGAGCCCAGGTTGCTCTGATAGTGGCCTTCCAACTGATAACCAGATGGAACCAGCTGAATAAACTTTGTGTCATCATTTCAGGACTCTTGGATTCTTATAGACGTTATTCTTGGCCATTCCTCGACATACCTCGAGAATGATTATGGATCTCACCGGAGGGCATCGACTGATTTTCCATCCTTATCAGAACTCTTACAGTGACCTCGAGAGCATCTATGAACATTGCTGACTGCTCTCGTCTCCCCCGTCTGCAGAATGTATACTCACTATGTGCTGTTTGTGCGAGGTGGTTTTTTTTATTATTAGAGGGGTTTTTTCCCTTAGGCAGGAAAAAAAATGTCTGATAGGAATTTTTTTTTGCCTCCAACTCCTACATGTGTCCAGTTAACCACTGTTTTTGTCTGTCCAAACAGGTCTCACTTGTAAATGAGTCTTCGAGGCTCAATGTGATTTATCTGTTTAAATAAATGCTTTTGGTTGTACCAAAAACCAGGCTGAAGCTCAGAGGAGATCAGGCTTTTTCAGTCATGGGCCCTAAACTTTGGAACAATCTGCCCATCAACATTCGACAGGAAACTTCACTCCCTGCTTTTAAATCTCTTCTTAAAACACACCTGTATTCACTGACATTCAACACAGTGTGAAATAATTTACTATTTCTTTGTTTCTAATTGTCTTTGTGTTTTTATATTTTTATTTTTGATACTTTTAATTACATCTTGTTGTTTTTATTTACTGCCTTGATCTTATTGTTAATCACTTTGGTAACAGCTTCTGTTTTAAATGTGCTTTATAAATAAATTTGACTTGATTACTTGGTGTCACAGTCTCATCAACACAACATTCATTCCTGTGATCTGCACATGCTCATCATTAATTATATTAATTGACGATTTAGTGTAAATATTTTACATTTTACAGTGTACAACTGATTAAAAACCACATTTGGTGTAGGTTTTCTATTCACTACAAACTGTGGTCAATCATTGCTGTTCTGAAAAAACAAGACTACTGCAACGAGTCATTAGAATGTCCTTGTGCTGTTTGACTTTTTTCTTTCTTTTTAACAGTTGTCAAAACAAGGCAAAACGTATAAACGTCACCATTTACATTTCAATACGTTCTAATAAAATAACTGTCTTATACTGTGGCTCCATATCCTATGTAACTAATCACAAAAGTTCTGCAACTACACTTCACACTTCCGGCGAGCTGATGGACGGCAGCTCCCTCCGGCTACTCTGCAGTCTTTTATCATCAAACTGACCCGTTTTTTCTAACCGGACTAAAGTTGGTCCCCCTTCCAAACGAATTCGGTGTTCAGTGACTCAGAGATCCGGACGGGACAGTCCAAAATATATTTTGGTCCAGGACTGGCCTCTCCCACCCCACCGGTCACTCTGAGCGCACCCTGCCGGCCAGGTGACCCCTCGAGCTGGGGAGTCGTCGCACGAAGGTCCGGTGTTTTTTTCTCTCCCTCTCTGGACCTCAACGATCTCTCATCTGGACCTTTGTGGTTCTACCTGGTTCCGACAAAAATCGCTGGGTGGTATTTCGCTGGTTTTCTGCTGGACTGGCCCTCGTGGTGTCTTCATAGGTGTGGGAGAAGTGTACCTGTGACCCTCGAACTGGACCAAAACTGAACCGAGTTGGCTGTGGGGGACTTTGTCTTCAACAGAGCGGGTCTCAGCTTCAGTGAGCAGCCCGTTACTTTTAACGAAGGACTGTTCACCCCCGTGGAATCGCTGTTTTCTGCTGGAGGAGATGCTCCGGTGCTTTGAAGCGCCGCCGGACCGGGCCGCTGGACCGGGCCGCCGGACCAGGCCGCCGGACCAGGCCGCCGGACCAGGCTGCCAGACCGGAGCAGAACCGGGAAAGGGACAAATTCAGCATCTTCGTCTCTCATGCTGTGGAGAGCCGGAGCTGGACTGGAGCAGAACCGGACTGGACCAGTGTCGACTTCAGCCTCAGCCTCTCCAGTCAGTCTCATTTTTCACCGGGGATGCCTTTCGTGCTGTCGGGTGCGGTGGTGTTGTGCAGAGAAGCGGAGGAGCAGCGTGAAGGAGCAGCGTGAAGGAGCAGCGTGAAGGAGCAGGGCTGCGTGGTGCTCGAGAGAATTTCGGAGTTTGTATCGGAGTTGCTGCAGGCCTCCATCCAAACTCACCTGGATAATAATTAATTTTATTCTGGATCACGCTGTTGGCCCCTGTTGACCTGAAATGAGCTAGGACCGTGCCTTTCACTTCAGGAGGATTTTCTGGCAGCTCGCTCTGCTATTTGTTGCGAATTATCTGTTTCTGTTTCGACCTGTTGATTCTGGACCCAGCTTCTGTTTCCCATGGGAGCATCCATCCATCCATCCATCTTCACTGGGGGGCCAGAGCCCCCCTCAGCCCAACCCAAACTGCAGTTGGGCCACCTCGTCGGGTTTGTTTGCCCATTTGAATTGTGACGTTTTATGGTCTGAGACTTTTCTGCATCATTCACATTACTGTCACTATTTTCAGTTCTCAGATTATCTGGAGTCACTGAATCTTGTTAATACACCTGAATCTGTCTATCACTGCAACTTTCACTGTTTTTGGGTTCTGAATGATCGCGTCTTAATTATTGTTTCTCATGATTCGATTATGGGGGCTAATTGTCACACTGTTAACTCCTGTAATTACACATCAGTCACAAAAAACTCAAGAAAATGTCTGATAATAATATTGTTACTGCTCTCAGTGATTCAACCCAACCGTGGACCCCCCACTATTTATATGACACCAAATGACTTTAAGAACGTGTCTGGTCTTCATTTTCTGCATGTAAACGCTCGTAGCCTTCTGAGAAAACTTGATGCCTTGAAAATTCTGGTCAGTTCTTCTGGGGCAGATGTAATCTTCATCTCTGAAACCTGGCTCAACAAATATCTGTACTCAATAATGACCTGGCAATCAATGGATTTAACATCTACCGCTGTGATCGTCAAAAAGAAAAGGGGGGGGGGGGTCGCTATTTATATCAGAGATTCTTTGGTTGCTAGTCCTGTGTCTTCTAAAACAATTCCAAACCAGTTTGAAGCCTTAGCTGTAAACATCACCTTGAATGGTGGCCGGATTTTATCTGTAGTCTGTTGTTACCGTCCACCTTCAGCAACACCTGAGGCTCTGTCTGCCCTGATGGAATTTCTTGGTAATTTAAAATTCGAAGAGATCCTTTTGGCAGGAGACCTCAACATTGACTGGGATAAGTCGACCCCCCTCTGTGATAAATTCAAGGAATGTTGCCTGTCTCTTAATTTAACCCAACTGATCAATTCTCCCACTAGATTAAATAAAAACCATCCTGAAAAATCCTCCATCTTAGACCTATTTCTAACTAATATGCCTCACAAATTCCCTGGTACAGGCGTATTTGCCAATATCTTGAGTGAACATTGTGTGACAGTGGCTTTGAGAGATATTAAACTTCCACTTTCTAAGCCCAGATAAATTCAAAAAAGGGATCTGAAACATTTTTGTGAACAGTCATTCCTCTGGGATCTGTCTCACTTTGACTGGCATCGTATTCTGTTAACTGATGACTTGAACTCCGCTTGGAGCTATTTCATAATAGTTTCGTTTATTTTGTGAACAAACATGCTCCTTTTCGTCAGTTCAGAATAAAGGGACGAGACAGCCCCTGGTTTACTCCAGAGCTAGCTGACCTCCTGCACAGGAGAGACCATCTTTGGGCCACAGCGAGAAAATCTGACTCAGACACTGATTGGTTGAGTTTTCAACAGATGAGGAATAAATGCACAACTGCTGTCAAAGCTGCAAAACGTAACTATTTCTTATCTCAGACCTCCAGAAATCTAAATGACCCCAACAGATTCTGGAAAACCATTAAATCTCTCTCAGGCACCCCACAATCATCTGACCTCCCATCACAACTTCTCGTTAACTCTGTTCCTGTGTCAAATAAGCACAAGATCCTGAACTGTTTCAACAAACATTTTGTTGCTTCTAGTTCTTTATTTGACACAGTTACTAATGGAAAATCAGCCACTTCACTTAATAACCAAACTTCTACAAATCAAATCCCTCCTACAAGTCAATCCTCAGTTAATCACACCTTCTCTTTTTCTCCGTTCTCAGTCAG